TCAGTGCATAGGAAGGAGATAAACAATACGTCACAGACTCTAATGACTCTGGTGCTCAAGGCGACCTTTAATTATTATATTTTTGTTCTCTTATACCTTAGTCATTAATGTAGAAAAACAAATTAGTTTATTTTTGTGGACCACAGAAGATTCATAAACTGTGCTCCAGGTTTTACATCTGAACTGTATTTTCATTCTGATAAGCTGCACAGGCTTCATTCATTTCCCTGTATTTGCATTTGTCTGCCTCATGTGTGGCTCTTGAATTTGCCACCTCAGGATAGAGTGTTTGTCTTAAGACTTTTGTTTTATGGGCTCTCTGATTAAAGGGTTTAATCAAGCTGTTCTGCTTGCAACTCACTTTAAAAAAAAATAAGGTGCTTCCTCAACAATTCACATTGGTCAGAATCTCATGATTATGACGAGATGCTTGAAAGGGGAAATGGATCTGATCTTACTGGGACTGGGGAGTTGTAGGCACTGCACAGAAGGAAACTGAGGGGTGGCTCAGAGGCTTAGTACAAGACCTACCATGTCTGAGTATTTCTGCATTCTGACTCAGGGTCCAAGTGTCTCCCTATCTGCCACTTACAGAAATTCTTCTCTTTTAACAAGCAAAGCAAGAAGTCTATTACTTGAAATAATTTGATAAAAAAATTTTTTGATGTTTTTCTCACTCCCTCTAGCCTGTCCCCAATCACACATACACAAATATGTGCACACACACACACACCATCCATCCAGGAAGTGTGAGGACGTGAAATGGTCCTCACAGTGGCCTCTGAGCTGACTGAATCAGGAAGTAACCTCCCACAGAAGCATGCACAGGGTTTTAGGGGATAAGCTTCTGGATGGGAGCTTTCAACAAGCCAAAAAGAAAAAAAAAAACCGAAACAAACAAACAAAAAAAACAAATAAATTAAAATTGCAGTAAAAGCTATAAGCAAAAGAAACCTTAGAAATAAACTAATAACATGAAAGTTATGGCAGGTGAGGCGAACAAAGACCAAGCTAACCAATAAAAGGAGAGGGGAAGAGGACACCAGCAAGGGTGTCCTCTCCCCACCATGTGGAAAGCCCACCGCCTGTCCTGCTGTGAGGTCTGACAGAGTGTACAGCCTGAAGAGAGCAACTCCATGTAAATCAACATAAAGGATGGTGCAAAGAAAAAAAAAGCATTGCAAATAAAAAAAAAAAAATACATGTAACATGTGCCTACCATTTTCCAGATAAGAAGGGGCCGTACCTTCTGACGGGTCTAGGCGGCGGGCCCGCCTCCCGTGTTTGGAATTGTTGTGCACAAACATGTTGTCCGACACAGCCAGCACGTGGCCGTCCACATTGACTGTTGTCGATACAACAACCTGCAAAGATAAACTAGATGTGAAAATAGAATTGGCAATGAAAAGCACAGAACCTGTTAGGCAGAATAAAAGCCAAAAGCCAGCTCAAGTGCTGCAGAGCACAAGGAAACTTACTGTTCTGGAAATGCTCCACTGATTGATGTGCATTCACAGCTTTTTTGGCTAATGGGGGTGGTTTGTTTTGTTTTGACTCAATTGCTTCTTTTAAAAAACCTGTTCCACTAATTAAGGTTTAATCTCTTATTATGCTAACAAGTGAATTCAATTCAGAGAAATATTCTCCTAGCCATTAGTTTCAGAAACACCCCTCTAGCCACTCATTTTAAAGCTGCTGTTTTGATTGATCTGTTCACATATTGATTAGATAGTTTATCTAATTTAAATTAGTTCACTTGAGAGCAGCCTCCCTTGAAGAGTTGTGAGGATTTAGAGTTGCCCAAAAAAGGCTTCATAAATCAGGACCATTCCTCCCACTCACATTTTATCAGCAAATGATCCCTGGGTCAATTTTACAATTACATTTAATGTCTGGTAATGAACTTTTTTGCATCTGAAAAGATGGAGTTGCATTTGAATAGTGGAAGTGTTTTCAATGAATTGGGAAAAGTTCAACTGGGAAAGCTCTGTGTGCCAAGGCAACATCCTTTCTGTTGCCTCCCAGTCCTAATCCAGACTCAGAGGAAGACTTGGGAGACAGGGAAGGCCTTCTTTACAGTCTCAGTGGCCTCATGTGAGAGAAGAACCCATCACACAGGGACTGCCTTGCTGGTACAATGTATGCATATTTTGTTTGATGGACTTGTAACAAGCATTCCAGAAATATGCCCAGGAAACAGCAAAGTACAACCCGGCCTTGACTTTCTTCTTTGACAGAAGTAGGCCTGTGTGGCATGTTACTTTCCCAGAGTGGCTAAAACCTGAGCCCAGGTTTAACCTGGGGCTTGCAGCAGGATTTCTGGGGCTTGAGTCTGGATTTGGCAGGAAAAAGTCTGGCTCACTGTCACAGGTAGGGTAGGCTTGGCAGGTCTTGAGGGGGTCATACCATCCTAGAGAACTGTGCACTGGGGAGGTGGTGAGTGAGAACTGCCAGGTATAAAGGACTGTGAAAAGCCGAGGCTATAGCAATCCTAGTAAATAATACTTATTAGTGTTAGCTCAGCAGATGTAATGAATGCACTGCATCAAAGATGTTAGTAATATGGGCAACTGAAGGGAGGGGGTCCCGAAGAGTTTCAGGGAGCTCTCCAAACTTTCTGCTGACATTTTTTAGTAGCACTGGATTAAACCCAGGCCCTCATGAGCATGCTAGGCAAGCATGGTATCATTAAGCTACCTCCTTACACTTTTCCCAGGATGTCTTTAAACTTGAAATTCTAAGGGGCTGGGGATTTAGCTCAGCGGCATAAGCGCCTGCCTTGCAAGCAGGCAGCCGTGAGTTCGATCCCTGGTACCCATAAAAAGGAAAACGACAAAAAAACAAAACAAAACAAAACAAAAACCTTGAAATTCTACTGCCTCAGCCTCCCGAGTAGCTGGGATTACAGGTGTGTACCACCATACCTGAGTGCTGAATTTTTTTGAAATGAATCTAAAACTGCTCTAAGAAAACAAGAAAGTCTATTAACAAAATAAATAAAACTAATTTTTAAAATAACAAATGATTAAAGTCACATAAATAATATTTATGAGCGTTTAAAGAAAAACCAAAGCTATATAATCATATATGCATATATTCATACAGGAATAACTTTTTCAAAATTTCAGGCCCCATGGCCGAGAGTGATGAATATCTACTATATCCTCCAGGCTCCCTCAAGGGCAGGATTTTTTTTGCTTTTTTGTTTGGTTTTGTGTTTTTGTGCTGGGGATCGAACTCCTGACCTCACATTTGCCAGGCAAGTGCTTATACCACTGAGCTAAATCCCCAGCAGCAATATTCTTGATATCGGTCTCCCTCTTTGGCTTTCCCAGATTGCAGAGGTCTAGACAATATCAGGTTAAGTAGCCTTCAAAAACTATGTAGTTACTGCAACTGGCTACTGGTTCAGATCTCAGGACCCTCTTCTGACTGCCACACAATGGCATAACCCATTACACCCTGGGCAGGAAGTTGCTGCAGTGCCACCAAGGTGCCTCTCATGCTTGGCAGCCTCTGCTTGCTTAGTGGAGTCAGAAACTGTTCCTGTCCACTCAGGTACCCTCCTGGGGACCACCTGCAGGCCCCACCCTGGGCACTGATTGAGCTCCAGTAACATCACCTCAGTAGGAGGCAGATACCTGACTAATACTTGACCTTTTAAGTTCCTACACCATGATACTTTAAAGAAACAAGAAACAATAGAAATAAAAAAGGACACTGATTTGCTCTGTGATCTATATATAGGTCAGTCACCAGGGGAACAGAGTGTTGTTCAGCAGAGAAAGCAGACACACTGTTTTGTTTCCATTTGGACCAGCCCTAGAGTGTACCCACAGAAAGATGCAGAAGTTGTGAAGCCAATAAAAAATATCATGCAAGCCCTGCCACAGTCCTAAAGCCAGTTAAACCTTCCCAGAGGCAGGAGGATTAGCTAAAGAGACCAGAGGAGGTCCTTCTACCCCACAGTCAACACTGAGATGACCAACACTCAAGTCATTGGCAAGAAAAAGAGTACATGGCCACTCAACCCAGTGTGACCTCCACCCTGCTTAAATGGATTAATATCACCTGTGCTCCATGGAGCCCTGTGCAGGAAAAATGGAAGCAGGCCCAATAGTCTGCAAGAAACATTGTCACTAGCTACTGAGATCACTATGAGTAACCCTAGGGGTCCTGCTCTCCCTGACTGGCGGGGTAGGCCTGGAGAGGGCCATCATGTAACTCCCTAAATGAAGGATACATGAAATTCCTAGAAATACTTTGAGCTTTTTATGGAAAAATAGTCTACATCCCACCTAAGAATTGCTCAGCGACTTAGTCCATCTAATATCTACGAGCTGTTCAGTTCTTTCTGGTTGATGAGTACCAGTAGCAATTCTGTATTTCAGCTCAGAATATTTTTACAATTAAAATCAACACAATAATAATGCATCATGGGTATAAGGTACCTTTACCCTAATGTAGCCTCCGGATCATTCAAAAGGGCAAGAAAAATATGAATACTTTTATAACCCAACCAGTTCCCTTTACTCCTGTAGACAAAATTCTCCAAAGGTAATCAGGAAGCATATTAATAGGTAAGCATGGAACTGAGGAAATGAAAACACAGAAGACCGTAGGAGGAGGAAAAGCCAGAAAAGTGTTCTGTAATTTTCAGAGGACTGGGTTAAGCAGATTCAGACCTCTTTGTAAGGAAGACTCAAGACCTCAAGTATACCTGAAAGGCTGCAGTATGATTTCCCTTCACTGCAAATCAGTTATCCATCCATCAATAAAAGATCTTAGGCCTGGCCATATTTCCAGAGGTTATGTCAGACTGCTGTGGGCTATGAATGGACTCAATGAAGCTGGCATACTGAAGATATAAGATCATTTCAAAAGCATTCTTTTTAACATATTTTATCAAATGAGCCATCTGGTTTGATATTAGCCTTTGGAGAACTGCAGGCTGTTTCCTGAACAACTGAAAAATCAGAGTTCAAATCCGGTATGAGCAGTCAGGATAGCTCCCTGTGAGTATGAGATGCATACCTGGAACCTTCGCATATCCCGAGGGTTGCCTGCATTCTTCAAACAGTTTTGATTGCACTTGAGGAAAAACTTTAGGAAGAATCTACAAAAACACAAAACAGTTAGGGTTATCAGACAAGCAATACAAACTTTTTGAAAGATACAACCTGAAAGTGGAGACTGCCGCACAACTGTGGCTGGCTGTCCTGTAGAGGGGGACATTGAGAGACAGCTTGGGACAGGTAGGTATCTAAGTGTGAGAGAAGCAACTTAACATTTGTCTCTCACCACAGATTCCCAGGCTTTATAACAAGGACTGTGACTTTTGGATTGGCCACTCCACACTCTACATCCGGATTTTTGAACTATTAAGCATTGAGAAAACATTCACCCCAGATAGGACTGCCAATTTCAGTCAATAAAAATGCAGGATGCCTGATTAAAATTGAATTTTAGTAGTGGTATACCCCAAAAAGCACACCTACACTAAAATATTATTTGAAATTGAAACTCACTAGTTATGCTACATTTTAGAAATTCTGACTCCATTAGATAGCCCTAAGCAAGCACACTTTTTTTTTTTTTTTGGTACCAGGAATCAAACTCAGGACCTCACACTCGGTAGGCAGGCACTGTGCTGTTGCACTATATCCTCAGTCCAGCAAACATACTTTGAAAGTCAGATTTTTAAAATCTTTTAAAGCTACAGTAGAAATAACTTAGAAAAAATTTTAGAGCTACAATGATTTCTGTGAACTCTGTGTTTTCAAGGGCATAGCTGACAGTTTTTGGTGTGGTCATGAAACCTCTGCTCAACAAGGGGCTGGGAATAGCAGGTACATCCCCAGTGGTAGTGGCAAAGCCAAGCTCAAGAGCTGGCACCAACTCCCATCTCACCCTTGCCTTGGGTGGCAGGAAGACTCAGGAGTCCTGGCAGGGTGCTGAGGGGCTGTGATGAAAATGCCATCCTGCTATCCTCCCCACTGCCACACATTCAGTGACAAATGCAGATCCACTGGCTTACAGCCTGAACTGACAAGGGCCAACCTAGCTGTGACCCCCCCCCACCCCCGCCAGGGAAGGCAGGGGATCTTGTTCTCATACAACTTCTGCCTCCACTTACAAAAGCCACATCCACTGTGAACCAAAGTCCCCTCTCTAACATCTATCTTCCTTGGTTGTCTAAGCATCTTGTCCATCAAGTTTATGCACAAAACTGCTTTCTCCCCAAAATATCATCTGTCCTACTTGATGCTGCTGAATGCTTTATGAAGTTTCAAATGATTTCCTTGAATTCAGCCTTTCGTGTTTGAGGTTCTTTATTGGGCATTACAATATCAGAAAATAAAAAGACTCAACAGACTATGATTCATTTTGCTAATAGCGATGCCAACATATCCCAGAAAACTGTTGACCATCACAGAAAAAAATTCCAACTGACGGAAGAAAGGATGGTGGCTATTTAATTACATTTTCTAACATTCACAAGGCTCACTATTTTAGGCCAGAATTTACATCTTTTATTAACTCACCTCACCTATACACTTAGCTCACAATGCCTCTTAACACCATCTGCCATCAGCTACAGCAAGTCACTTGATATTCCACCCACCAATTTTTCCTAACAACCAGTGTGCAATTAAACTCCACACGTTCCGCAGCGAGGTAAATTAGGCGCACCTGCGGCCACACTGCATTTGAACTGCATCAGAAAGGGCCTAACAAGGTGAGGGCGCCACAAAGTTATCGTCCTGTCAGGCAATTAGGTTTTCACTTGGGGGACAGCCACACAGTGCAATTATGTCCCACATTACCACCCGGCTAATCTTCTGAGCAGGCACCAGCCCGAGAAGCTGCTCATCTGCAAAGGTACCTGCATGGAGCCAATGGTGGGAGACTTTTTGTGAAATAAAAGATATTTTCCCCCATTTAGAGGAGACTGCTTTAAATGCCTTGATACCATTTTAGGCTACTTTATATCATCATCTCTAATAGAACACAGCAGGCTTTGAAGATATCCTAAATTGTCCTTGCGATGGCTCCTACATTGCCATGAGGAGATGGACTTGGCATCTGGGGCCTTGACTATAGTCATCTCAGAGATCAGCAGAACAAAGTTGGGTGCTTGAGCCTGAAACCACACAGAGTATCTATGGGTAGACTGAAGCAGGACCAGACACACACCAACCCAAATACATGTTCATACTCTCCACCCCAACCTCCACCTGGATGTGGCAATAGTTTGTTTCTATCCAAAGTATCTAAAGGCAGTATAAATACTTAAGATCTGATGTGAACACCCTGGAGAGTGGGAACCTTTTTAAGTACTCAGGTCCCAATAATACAAATAAAGTAAAGCACAGCGTTCAACTGACTTCTCACCAGGGTACGGAGATCTTTTCAAGGACAGAGAGGAATCCTCCACACAAGGAAAGGGGCACTTGGAGCTGATTTCTTTTGCCTTCCTTTTGGTTCTGTTTAACTCAAGGATTCAATTAAGCCTTCACAGGTGGAAGGCACAGCAGAGCCGCTGCGTGGCTGCTGACACTGGCCACAATTACGTAGGAAACAAACGCAGTTTCCACTAAGAAGCGCTCGCTGAGATGCACTGTTGCAATGTTTGGGGACAGGGTGAGAAAATTGAATGCCCGACATGTGAAGTCAAATGGTAATTCTCATCCTTTACTCAATTACCCTTTAATTGGCTTTTTCCTAAGAAATATCTGACAACCACTTTACATATCTCACTTCCAGAGTCTAGTACACAAAGGATTTAATACTCTTGTTATGAAAGGAAAAATCCTTCCTATGTCAGAAAATCTTTGGCTTTAGCACCAATAAACTCTTTATTACTGCTAAACATGGATTTGCTGCTCGATCGCAAAGAGGCGATAAAAATTCTAACCTGTCATTAGTACATTATGCTTAATTGTGTACAGTGTGTTTCCCCTTGCATCTGCTGGCCCGACATCAAAATGACCATTATGTGCACTAATTCCCTGACCCCATCTTTATTTCCCTAAAGAGTCATCATCTTTCACAGTAGGTACCAGAGTAAATCAAGCTTGAAATATGGGCTTTATTTACTTGTTTCTCCCAGGCAGAGGGGAAGACAGCAGCTAAAGACAAACTGCTCCACAGCAGTCATTCCTGGGTAATATTCTATTCGGAAACCCTCACAAAATCCTGGAAAGTTCTCAGGAGCAATTAGCAGGGGTAATGTATGATCCTATCACTTTGGAAATGGGGTTTCCTCTTTGCCTCATGCAAGGATTAAAGAACAGCATGTGAGTGCTCTTGCTTATTCCTAGGAAATATCGCTGTAGAAGATTCCCTCTTTCAAATCCTGAGGACCCCATGACAATGGACTGGATACTTAGGCCCTCATCAGGATAGTGAAGGAGGAACTAAGTGGTTCCTGATATCTTAGGTTTAAGCTTAAAATCCCAAGGACCTCCTTCCTGCTAGGACAACTATTCCACTGGTGCAACAGAGAGAAGTCTGCTGCACTCTGTGAAGCTGAAACTTTGGTCTTGACAGTATTAAAATCGGATCTCAAGAAGCAGCACTAAGATTAATGTGAGGTGGGATGGTGGCCAAATAAGGACGATTTAAACTAGGCTACCATAAATGAGATCAACCTTTGTCACCAGAGCCCAACATGGCTATCGCAGGATAAGGGGCAAGCCCCTATCACAGTAACTAATTTTAAAGCCTGTTCCACTTCTGTATGTTTAAGCTATGAATTAGTTCATTTATATTTACTTTTATGAAGCTGATTAACCAGAGCTTCTCTATCTGATGAAAATCATTTTAATTGTAGTGTTAGGCTCCTGTGTAATATCCATTACATTATGAACTGTTTAAATTCTACATGGGTATTGTGTAAATTGGCCCTTTGTGAGCTAGCAGGCAATTAGGACCAAACAGCTCTCCTTTTAACGGTTACAGAACTTTGTGGTGTTGTTCAGGACAATCAGAGACAAAGGAGGCTGTTTAATTGTAATTTAATGGAATATCAAGGAGTCCGTGGCATTAGACGCTGGCAACAGAGAGCAGGAGAGAAAAATTAACTGCAATTATGTTTGATTAAAGCTATCCTTCTCAATAATCAGCGGTCCTGACAGGCCATGGGGCTCCAGTGGGCTCCAGGATGGCAAAAGGTGTTCAGCAATATTAGGGCCAATAAAGGGGATATTAGCATAGCTAATTACAGCCCTGCAAAACCTGTAAAGGGGGCCTCTGTGTATTGTAATGTGTGAAATAATTGGCTGAGGCCGTTATCAATTACATAAGGAATGAATTTGGTTTGTCAGAGAAAAGCTGATGAGATACATTTCATCTGACACCATCCCTTCCCTCACGTCTCCAGGCAGCAAAGAACTTACCCACTTCCATCAAGAGGTGCAGCTTGCAGTGGCCAAGTCACTGTAAAATCATCTTGCCAGCAAGTGTTAGGTAATTAATACAACTCATCCTCGAGCCCTCCCTGCCGCTGCTGTTTTTACCTAACCGAAGCCACTAATCATGCAATAATGATTTCTTTCCCTCTGGTCAAGGGAGAAATAGATTGGCTCCTTAGAAATGCAGCGGCTTCACGGGCACACCCTGGTGATTGAGGAGAAAAAAGAAACTCAGAGTACTTTTAATTGTTTTTTTGTTTGTTTGGTTTTTTTTTTTTTTTTTTTTGTCTTTTTCCTTTTTATCGGTATGGGGATCGAACTCACAACTGCCTGCTTGCAAGGCAGGCGCTTATGCTGCTGAGCTAAATACTTTTTACACGTGGTTATCACTTTTTCAAATTTCCTTACTTCTCAGCATTGCAGTCACCCTCTAAGGGTTTTTTTCCTCCCTTCTTTTTAATTGTCAAAGTGTAGACTCTTCCAGGGCTTGATTTTACCATGACCCTGATGGGCCGTGTGAAAAGACATTCAGGCCAAGTGTGAATCCAAAGTACACTGCAGCCTCTGTGCAGGTTAAGTGCCTACACTCCGAGGGCAGAGCTCTGGCTTCTCATAGGTCCTCTGGCACACTTCATTTCAGCCTCATTCCTAGCTCTCTCCTGGCCTCAACTGTGGGTGATACGGGGAAATCCGTCAAGAC